GTCTCTGCCCTACAGTAGGGTAGGTCTACCCTTGGGGCCATGGAAGGGGCCTCACATAATCCCAGTTAGGGTGTTGGGTAAGCATGATTTGGGGAAGCTTTGTGAGAAGCTCACCATCACCTGGAGGCTGGATCCAGGAGCTCTCAGGCAGTCTGCTGAGGTCTCAGCCCTTACCTCAGCAAGGCCAGATCAGGCACTCTCAGGCTGTCTGCTGAGTTCTCAACCCCACCCCGTGGGAAGGCTGGAAATTCCTTATTTTTTATAAGTAGATGTTCTTTTTTTTCTTTATTTAATGTGTATGCGTGTATTGCCTGTGTGTAGGTAAGTGCACCCGTGTCATGCAATGCCCATGGAGGACAGAAAAGGCTGTTGGATCCCCTGGAACTGGAGTTACAGACAGTTGTTAGCTGCCATGTGGGTGCTGGGATTTGAACTCGGGTCTTCTGCAAGAACAGCCAATGTTCTTAACTGCTGAGCCATCTCTCCAGCCCCATAAATAGATGTTCTTATTCATAATGAGAGTAATTTTAGATTTATAGACAAGCTGCAAAGATACTTTGTATCTTCCTTTCCTTTCTTTCAGAGGCTGCCCTCTGAAGTTAAGGTCACACTTCACTATGGTACATTTACCAAAATAATGACTGCAACTTGAGAGTGGTCTGGGACAAGCCACAGTCAGTACTTGGAATTCACTGTCTTCCCACTACTGTCCTTTTGTGCTGTGTTCTAGAATCCAAGCCAAGATGCCAAGTTGCATTTACTTAGTGTGATACCTTTTATAACCCAAGCCCACTTCTGTGTGACCTCATTGTTTATTCCCTAGAGCAACCTGTTCCCTTCCCAGTCCCTGCCAGGAGTGCAGGTAGGGACCCCAGGACTGCTTTGCTCTTAACCCTCTGCAGGTATGTTTGGTCTTTATTTTAGCATGAAAGGCAGTTTCTAGCACCAAGACAGAAGGAACCTGGGCTCCAGGTCAACCTCCAGCTGTGTCCTTGGCTTCCCATTCTGAGGTCCCTGTTCAGCCTTGCATCACTTTGCGAAAACCTGAACTATTCTGAATTCACTAGCTTCAGACAGTATGCCACTAAATCTTTCTTCTAATACAATAGCTGGTCATCGACTAGGTTATCTTAAAGATGTGGAAAGCTCTTTTACAGTCTCTGCCTGGGAGTAAGTGACCAGATGCACCATGCTTCTCCTCCCCCAACCCCCCCCCCCGCGGGCTCACTGCTCCATGCTCTCTGGGATATCCCCTCCTGCTGGGGTAAAAGGAGGAAGGCTGTTTCCTATCTGCCCTTGGTCTACACAGTAGAATGTCACTACCTCCCAGGGTCCAGAGAAAAGCAGACTGTGTTCTTCCTATTTTAAAGATAAAGTAGTTGAGGCTCATTAACTTTAATACTTAATACTTTTAACTATTTGATTTTGAAACAAGGTTTCTTATAGTTCGGCCTCATCTTGAACTTCCTAAGTGACTGAAGATGACCTTGAACTCCTGATCCTCCTCCCTCCACCTCTCCAGGGCCAGGATTACAGAATTTTAAAGTCGATGCCCATAAAAATGCATGTTTTCCTTTTCTTTGGGAATGTGGTAGCAGTGTCTTCCTAGCTCTGTGGTCCTTATCAGCTACAGGGCAAGGCAGACCCATCCTTAGACAAGCAGGTTCATGACAGTCAGCTCACACTATCAATTTCCTTGCAAAAGGAATTAATTCTCTGGACCCATAGCTATCAAAATTAGGAGGAAAAATAGATTGACAGAAAAATTTCTTGTAATTTTCTGGCATCTCTTTTCTACTCCATCCTCTTTTATTGTTTAGTCAGTTCCATCATCATACTCCCATTCTATTTAGAAGCTCCAGAACTGCTGTGGACTTTTAATTTGAGTGTGTGTGTCTGTGTGTATCTGTGTGTGTCTGTGTGTCTGTGTGCATAAACCACATCATGTGTGTAGAGATCCGAGAACAATCTCAGGTGTCTATCCTTGCCTTCCCCCTTGTTTGAGACAGTCTCTGTTCACCACTGTCATCCAAGTCAGCTGTCTGTGAGCTTTTGAGAAATTTACTGCCTCCACCTCCCATCTCGACATAGAAGCACAGGGTTACAGATGCACATTACCATATCTGGCTTTACATGGGTTCTGGGGATCCAAACTCATGTCTTCACACTTACATGGCAAGCACGTTACCTACTGAACCATCTTCCCAGGCCTGCTGTGAGCCTTATAGTGCCTTTTTTCTTCATTTTTTAAAAAGTTATTTTTATTTTATGTATGTTTTGCTTGCATGTATTTAAATGCACCTATGTCATGCAATGCCCACAGAGGCCAGAAGAGGGCATCAGATCCCAGGAACTGAAGTTACAGGCAGTTATGAGCCACTTGATGTAGGTGCTGGGAACTGGGGTCCTCTGGAAGAGCAACTAGTGCTCTTAACCACTGAGCCACCTCTCCTTTTTCTTCATTAAAAAAAAAAAACAGTTAAGATGCAGTTTACATGCAATAAAAATCTACTCTTTCATTTTTAATATTTTGTATATTATTTATTATTTTGTGTGTATGAGTGTAATGTCTGTACATAGGTAGGTGCACCTGTGTCATGCAATGCGCAAAAAGGCCAGAAGAGGATGTCAGATCCACTGGAACTAGAGTTAAGGATGGTTGTTAGCCGCCATGTGGGTACTGGGAATCAAAACTGGATCCTCTGCAAGAGCAGCCAGTGCTCTTAACTGCTGAGCCACCTCTCCGGCCCCAAATCTACCCTTTTTAATATCAGTTCTGTGAGAACTGGGGCGGGGGGGAGGGAGTTGTTTTTGTTTTGTTGTTTTGTTTTTTTCTTTTGCGACATAGGGTCTTGTGTAATACAGATCAGCCTCAAATTCCCCCTTCGTAGCCAAGGAAAGCCTTGAACTCCTGATTCTTCTGCTTCAATTTCCTGATTGCAGGCTTTTAGGTGTGTACCACCATGCTGGACTACTGTGAATTTCAGCAAATTCTTAGTCATATAATCATAGTCAAAATCCAAGATACATTGTACAGCAACTTTATCCACAGGAACCAACAGGAAAAGGCAACCCAAGTGCCCATCCACAGATGAATAGTTAAGCAGGATGTGGTCTATCTATATAATGAAACATTGTTTGGCCACAAAAAGAAGTTCTAACACATGTTATCATATGGATGTACCTTAAGGACATTATGCTAAGTGAATAAACCAGTTTCAAAAGAGAAAACACTGTATGATTCCATTCCTAGGTGCTTCTTAGAGTAGTCATGCATAAGAGAGTAGTATAACATCAGCAAGGTGGCTCAGTTGCATAAAGGTACTTTCCACCAAACCTGATGACCTAAATTCAGTTCCCAGAACCCACATGGTGGAAGGAGAGAGCCAAATTCCACAAGTTGTCTTCTGACTTCCATGCACATGCCCTGCCATGTGCATGCCTACATATATGCACACACATGCAAACTAAATAATAAATAATTAAAATTTTTAAGTAGTATAGATATTTCTAGAAGCTGGAAAGGGGAAAATGGAGGGTTACTGTTTAATGGGAACAGAGTTTACTTTGGGAAGACAGAAAAGTTCTAGATGTACAACAGTGCGGATGCCCTTGGTGTCACTGAACTGTGCACTGAGGACGGTTCACCATTTTCTGTTCACTCATTTTGCCTGTTCTATTCCCACAATACCACATGGATGGAACCAGACATTCTAGGACTGTTCCTTACGGCTTCTTTCACTCATCTTGTTCACTGAGACTCATTTTGTGTGTGTGCGTGCATTTTGTGTGGAAGCATGTGGAAGCCAGAGGACAACTTCAGATGCCATTCCTCAGGTACCAGGCACCATCCACCTTGTTTGTTTTTGAGACAGGGTCTCTTATTAGCCTGGAACCCACCAAGTAAGACCCAAGATCCACCTGTCACCAAGTAAGACCAGCAAGACCCAAGGATCTACCTGTCTCTGCCTTCCCAGTTCAAAGATTACAAGTGGGTGCATCATGCCTGGCCTTTATTCACATGGATTCCAGGGACTAAACTCTGGTCCTCATGCTTGTAAGGCAAACCCATTACCAACTGAGCCATCTTCCCAGCCCAGTTACTGGGATTCTTCCATTTGATCATGTGTATGGTTAGATTATTCTTTTATGTGGCTGATGATGTATATAGGTATATTCTTCTTTTGTGCTGCTGCATGGGGCTCCACAGTGTACCTGAGCCACAGGTTTTTATCCTCTTCTTACTGGAGGGACTCCTGGGTGGGCTTCCTTTTTTTTTGGCAAATGAGATTCAAAAACACCATGAACATTCACATGCACATCTTTGTGTAGACCTGTGCTTCCACTTCACCTGGGTAAATATCCAGCGGCAGATTGTGAGTGAGTAAGTGAGTGTACAACATTACAGGAAGCTGAAAGTAGTCATACTATGACAATCCTACCCTGAGTGACAGGAGTGCTGATTGTTCTACATTCTGGACGGTACTTGCTACTGTCCATATGTCAGCCATTCTGCTGGGGACTTTTCAAATTATTAAAGATATGTCGAAAGTTGCAGGAAAAAACATAGTACAAAGAGTTCCCTTGTACCTTCCACTTGGTTCCCCCAGCAGTAATTTCTTACAATGGATACCATAACCAAAAGACGATGTCTTCAAAATTCAGAACAAACCTACTGGATTTCTCTGGAAGTTCAGAGACCTCTGTCCTTTTCAACAGTCAAAGAGCCAGGTGTGGTGGCCCATGCTTGGAGGTAGGGACAGGAGAATTGGAAGTTCAAGGCTACCCTCAGCTCAGCTACATAGTGATTTCCAGGCCTGCCTGGGCTATGTGAGACTTTGTCTCCAGACACAAAAAAAACAAAACACCAAAATGACATCACGAGCCTACAATGCCATTCAGAGCCTATTCAAACCACTTGCCTATGTAAAGACTCCATGCAGAAGATGCCTTGGGTCAGACCTCAAGAACTTAACCATTTGTCTGCTGGATTTTTGCAGAGTACTTTCATCAACAGACCTGCCCTAGGCATCTTGCCTCCAGAGAACTTCGTGGACAAGCTCCGGCAGTCCTTGATGTCTGTGAGTTTGGGGCCCAATCCCCCACCATGGTTGCAGTCCCACCTCTGCTTTCCAGCCTGTCTGTCTCCAGTAGAGTATCTCTTCCCATCTTTCCTCTCTGCCTGCCTCCAAGGTCTTCCTGAGCGTCTCCTCCACTTTGAGAAAGCCTGAACTCACCCTCCAGATCTGAAGTTTCTAGGGTATCCCTGGTGCAGTCCCTGCCCCACCCTCCCACCCTGACCCTGCAGCAGTGGGGTGTTGGGGGCTCGGGCCTTGCCCTGGAAGATGCAGCTCCAGGGGGAGAAAGATCCAGATGACTGACAGAGGGCTCCCTCTACAGGTGGCACCCAAAGGCATGTCCCAGCTCATCACCATGGCCTGTGGCTCCTGCTCCAATGAGAATGCATTCAAGACCATCTTCATGTGGTACCGGGTGAGCTTTGGGATGGGAACATACACGCGTGCACACACACACACACACACACACACACACACACACACACACACACTTTGACTCAAGCACACACTCACCTGATGTTCCAAAAGCCAAAGTGTTAGACTGACGGGTGAGTGTTGGGGGGGGAACACACACGCGCGCGCACACACACACACACACACACACACACACACACACACACACACACACTTTGACTCAAGCACACACTCACCTGATGTTCCAAAAGCCAAAGTGTTAGACTTCAGTGGCCAAGGACATAATCTAGGGAGGGCCGGATGGGGCTTTCCCAAAACCTCAATATGATGTGGCACAAGAGGCTGGGGCTCTGATGTCAGATTTACCCATATAGTTATGTCACAGGAGTCATTAGGGTCAGAAACTGGCAGCCCTAACAAACCAGACTCAGTCACTCCTTCTCAGTAAACCAATTAAATAGTGAGAAGCAGAAAAGAGAGATTTATTCAATATGACCACATTGGGAAGAGCAACACATAAAGAGGTCCAGTCACACACACCCCAAATCTGTCTTTCAGGTCCTGACTTGCCACTTAGATCTACAGACAAGAGGCCTGCATAGCTAGGCAGTCCTGGTCAGGGCATGGTCCCACCCCACTATTCTGTCCACTCCAATCTCTCCTGTAAGATTCTCTGACAATTTGTAACTCTTTCTCAAGGAGACAGGTGCCCCCTCTGGCTGCCCATTGGGTTTTAGAAATTCTTGGAGTCCATTGTTTTAATAGTCTTGACAGCCAAAGAGAGTGGCACAAATGTGTTTTTTCAGTTGTAATTATGATCTTTCCTGCCACAATTGTACCATCCCAAGTCTTAGTTGCTGCTGATAGGATCTTAATGGATCCTATAGCAATGCATGTATTTATTTCCTTGTGAGCTCAGGTAGTCTCAAGGATCAGAATAGACATCATGACAGTACACGAAGTTAACTCTTGAGAAATCACACTCAGTTGTCTGGACCAAGCGCAGCTGTAGTGGGGGAGGGATGCCCCCATCTACCCTAGCATGGCTCAGATTCTGATCTGTTCTATTTTGGCAGAGCAAGGAACGAGGACAGAGAGGATTCTCAAAAGAGGAGCTGGAGACCTGCATGATTAATCAGGTGGGTTCAGAGCCAGCAAGACGGTACAGCAGGTTAGGGCATCAGGTGGGTACAGGGCCAGCGAGATGGCTGAGCAGGTTAGGGCACTTACTGCCCAGGCTGAAAACCCGAGTTCAATCCCCAGGACCCACATGGTGGAAGGAGAGAACTGATGAGAACTGACTGCCACACATGGTCCTCTGACCTCCACACATATGCAGGGGTGCATGTGCACACACACACACACACACACACACACACACACACACTAAATTAAAATGTAATAAAAATCAGATAGGTGCAGCTGGGCCTTCTGCCTCATCCATCTGGGAAGCTGCCCCAAGGCTCCTAAGGCTGATGATGACTGAGTGACTCTATTCTTAATTAGAAGGGGTCCTGAGCTTTGCCACCCCAGAGTTCATTCCCTGGTCCCAGGGCTGAGTAGCAGTCTCCCTGATCAGCCTTCATCAGTTTCCCAGGATAATGCTCAAGTGTAGAACAACCCAAACCCCCAGCACAAATGAATGCATGAGAGCCTTCACTCCGTTGGTGTTTACAGTAACGACAACCAGAAAGGGTTGGAAACCACCTATCCTATCCAGGAATGGGGAAAGATCAGTTCCATGTAGGGTTCTAAATTCAATCCTATCACTTAGAGAGAGCCTACTACAGATGGGGGTCACAGGTGGAGCCACAGGGATGATCAAGTAGGTAGGAGTGACAGCTTCCCATGCAGCTCCAACGAGAGCAGGCTTGTCCTCTGTGTGTGGGGTCCCATGTAAGTTTAGAAGTGTCCACTGGTAGGGAGGGGTGTTGGGGGAGGGGAGAAAGAGAATGAGAGTCAAGAGCCACTCTACTACAATTGCCTGCTGCTTAAATTCACAATAGTCTGCAACAAAAATAATGACAAAAGTTTCTCTTGGCCAAGGCATGCATGCCACGATTTAGTGAGACCTTCTGTGGACACTGCATGCGGCCTCTCAGCCTGCTTACGGTGGCTTGCCTCTGAGTGGTGAGACTAGTTTGGTCTGGCTTCTTTGCCTGCTTTCTTATTTCCTGATCCCAACTAGCAAATATATTTTTATATTTGCTAGCAAATATATTCACCATGTTCATATAAACCCATGTTCCAGTTTCCTTTCTGGCACTATCATGAAGCGCTCTGACTAAAAGCTACTTAAATGAGGAAAGGATTTACTTGACTCGTCCTTCCAGGTCACAGTCCATCACTGAGGGAAATCAGCACAGGAACTCAAGGCAGGAACCATGGAGGGATGCTGCTTGCAGGCTCATTTTCTGACTTTCCGCTCATAGGCTCATGCTTAGCTGGTTCCTTTTTTTTTTTTTTTTTTTTAATCTTGAGACAGGATCTCCACATAGACCCAGCTGGCCTGGAATTTGCTATGTAGACCGGGCTGTCCTGCTCACAGAGATCCACCTGCCTCTGCCTCTGCCTCAGGAGTGCTAGGATTATCTTGCCTTTAAGCTAGCTTTCTTTTTAAAAAATATTTTATTATTTTTATTTTATGTGTAAGAGTATATTGCCTGCATGTATGTAAGTGCACCTGTGTCATGCAATGCCCGTAGAGGTCAGAAGAGGACGTTGGATCCTCTAGAACTGGAGTTACAGATAGTTGTTAACCACCATGTGGGTGCTAGGAACCGAACCTGGGTCCTCTGCAAGAGCAGTCAGTGCTCTTAACGGACCAATCCAAACTTAGGGAAGAGGAAACCACTAAAACCCTTAAAACTCAGTCCCTCCCTAGGAGATGTTGGATTTCGATTTCTGAGTCCCCTCTCCACGTGTTTCTCTTTGAGAGATGGCTGAGCCATCCGTCTCTCATCTCTCTAGCCCCTAAGCTAGCTTTCTTACATAGCCCAGGGCTACCTGCGTAGGGATGGTGCCACCCACAGTGGGCTGGGCCCTCCTATATCAATTAATAATCCAGATAATCCCCCACAGACATGCCCACAGGCCAGCTCATCCAGGAATTTCCTCAGTCAAGACTTTCCTCTCAAATGACTCTAGGCAGTGACAAGTTGACAACTAAACTAACCAGGACAATCTTCATAAACTTCGTCTCTTTATCCTGAAGCGTTTCCCCAAATGTGCTTATTTGATATCCATATACAGCATGTCCCACCAACATTTTTAGACTTCATTCTTTGCTTTCAGCAACTACGTCCAAGTGTACCTAATGACGTGTGTCTGTTACCATTCTGTTTTGTTTGTTTTGTGGCAAAGCGTCCATGTAGCCCTGATTGACCTGAAACTTGCTATGTAAACCTGACCCTGTACTTGCAGAACAAGTTACTGGAACAGGATTGAGGATGGTCACCATCTAGGGGTCAGGTTCATTTTTTTCAGCCAATTAAAGAACTAAAAGGCAGAAAAAAATCTCAGCAGAAAACAACAGGCAAACACAATTTTTTGAAAGAAATTTATTACTTTTGTTTTATGTGTATAAGTATATTGCCTGTGTTGTGGAGTGCTTCACTAGAGAAGACCACTCAGGCAAAGTTTTGCTGAATGAAAGTCTTGCTGACCAGCGGCTACACAAGGATGTTGGAACCCAAGTGTGTAGCCCTGAGCCACCTCTAGGGTAAGATTTTATACAGAGAAACCATAATCAAGAGTGAAAAGTTTAAGTTCCTATGCTTACAGGTGGAGAGTCCCCTTAACAATTTCTATTCTATTAAGTAACAATTACTATTTTTCAGAAGCAAGCCAAGCATAACCAACAGAAGCCATAAATCTGCAGTTAGCAGTTGTACTCTGGTACACACTGACTGTTCCCAAGACAACTGGGGTCCTGCTGATGTGTGTTCCCATACCCTGGGCCAACTGCCTGATAATATCAGCCTAAAGTTTAACATGGCATAGCTATGGGCAAGAAGGTGCCATATTTGCATATCACACTTGCATGTATGTAAGTGTATCCATGTCATGCAATGCCCACAGAGGTCAAAAGAGGGCATTGACTCCCCTGGAACTGGAGTTACAGAGAGTTGTTAGCTGCCGTGTGGGTGCTGGGAACTGAGCTGGGTCCTCTACAAGAGCAGCCAGTACTCTTAACCTCTGAGCCATCTCTCCAGCCCCCTCAAACAAACTTTTATTGAAAGATAAAGATTCACATCCATACAGCACACATTCATGCAAAGATAAACTCTCTACAAGTGGAGCAAGGACTCAGAAATTGAAATCCAACATCTCCTGGGGAAGGCCTGGCTTTTAAGGGTTTTAGTGGTTTCCCCTTCCCTAAGTTTGGATTGGTCAGCTTAAACAAAGAAGAGAAGGCTGCTAAGTTTACAACTTCAAGTTTATGACTTTATGAAGAGGGGTCCAAGTTCAGCCTTGGTTTCAGCTAAACTAGTTTGCTGGCTTGAAGGGGAGCCACCAGGCCTCTGTTGAAGACCAAGAAGAAGCAGGAAGTGTGTCATTGTTATTATTCTTCAGTGACTCTGCTTATTTGAAATTTAGTTCCGTGCACTTCTATCTCTGCCTCCCCAGTGCTGTGAAACTATAGGTCCATGCCACCATACCTGGCTGAATCATGCTGCCTTTCTACTCAGGAGACAAGAGAAAATAAGAGAGTATTCTGGAATCTGTACGAGGAGGTCTTGAAGCTTTTTTCAGGGAAAATGCTGCAGGGACCACCAACCTCCCAGAGCCTCAGGGGCAAAGGGCCTCTGAGGGCCTGAAGCAGGTCTCCCTGAGGGTCAGGCAAGGGAGCAATGGCTGTCTTCTCATCTGCTTGAAGCTAAGAAGCTGAGAGTTGTACATTCAGTTCTTGCTCCCCTGGAACCTAAAGAGCAGCTGCTTGTCATGGGGGCAGATGTGGTCCCTTCCTCCCCACTGTCTGGCCCAGGTGACCTCTTCAGGTACCTGGTCCACTTCTGTTGTGAGCCACAGACCAGGCCCTAGCCTCAGGTCAGCCTTATAGCACAAGGCTGTGGAAGCCAGAGATTCGTGGAGTCTGGGCAGGAGCAGAGAGACACTGCCGAGCTAAATTGAGGCTGAAATGAGCAGCACTCGGCCAGCAGAAGAGCTGCCATGGACCCTGTCCACCGGCTGCTGCCAAGGAGAAAAATGGCCCCTAGGGTAGACCCTGTGGGAAGCCAGATGGTATGAAACTTCTTGATCTTCAATTTGCAACATTTAACAATTTTAAGTGTGTGATCAAACGCCTGTGGGCTGGGCACAGATCTCCAGGATCCAGTTTTAGAACTTCTGCCTGTGAGGGACCCTAGTTCTTGTGATGGGCATGTCTTCCTCTGGGTTTACAGGGCCCCATATAGTCCAGCACTCACAGAGTCACTGATGCCTTTTTTTTTTTCATTCTAGGGCCCCGGATGCCCTGACTACAGCATCCTCTCCTTCATGGGTGCTTTCCACGGGAGGACCATGGGTAAGGAGGGACCGTGTGGCCCCGGGTTGGCATTTAGAGTTGTAAGAAAAACACATATTGTCTCATTGAATCTTTAAGCTGCATTTTATCCAGAGAGATGTTAACCTGAGAAGACAGGGTTAAATTGTATACATATGCTTTTCCACTCTCCCCTCCAGCTGGTACACTTGATTGGGAACAAGAAGAAAGGCTGGCAGTCATTCTGAAGTTCAGTCTTGTCCCTCCGGTCAGGTGGGCAGCCTTGGCTCTCAGTCTAGTGCAGGGAGAGACCAGGGTTCCTGTACTTTTCCTTCTCTGTGCAGCAGGGTTCACATGCTCCCCAAGGCAGCTGAGCTTCACATTCCTTTCAGGCACCGCCTAAGTCAAAGGTTAACTCAGAACAAACTACTAGTAGTGTACACCCTGGGTTACTTAGAAAGTGAACACTTAGGGCAGGTGAAATGGCTCAGCCAGTAAAGGCCTTTGCCACAAAGCCTGTTGACCTGAGTTTGATCCCCAAGATCTACATGATAGAAAGAGAGAAACAGCTATTAGTTGCCTTCTGGCCTCCACTGTGGCATACATGTACATACACAAACATACACATATGCATATAAATTTAATAATAATATAGAATATAAAAATGCCCCATCCATTCCTCCCGTCCTTTATCAGTTCCACTCAATTCCCTACAGAGAGGGGACAATTGTGCCCACTTTGCAGATATGGACATTGAGGGTCAGCAGTAGAAGGAACTTTCCAAAACCATTCAATAACAGAGCAAGGATTTAAACCCTGGCTCTCTCATCTTCAGAGACTGGATGTAATCTGTGATAAATTATAAGCAAACACACACACACACACACACACACACACACACACACACACACACAATATAGCAGTTCTGCATTTTGGGATGTTACAGAAACAACAGGCCTCTCTGGACATTTCATTCACAGGGTTGAGCATCATGTCATCCCTCCTTGAAGATGGTCTATGCTACTGCCCCAAGCCAAGTATCTGCTTTTCTGTTTTGCTGCTCTTAGGTTGCTTAGCGACCACACACTCCAAAGCAATTCACAAGATTGATATCCCTTCCTTTGACTGGCCCATTGCTCCGTTCCCACGGCTTAAATACCCTCTAGAAGAGTTTGTGAAGGACAATGAGCAGGAGGAGGCCCGCTGCCTGGAAGAGGTAATCTGTGCCCCCATCTTCCCTATTTCCCTGTTATTCTCAGTGTCCTGAGTCTGAGCCTGGAAGAGGACAAACAGAGTATTGACAGGGGACATGGGTAGTAGTACACCCCAGGGAGGAGGTAGAGACGTGGAGATCTCATGTCTCAAGAGAGTTGACACACTATTTGGTACCTAGGATCTGTCCCCCACTTCTGGTACCAATTTAAGTACCTACCATTTCCATTTCTTTGGGGACAAGCTTCAGTGACTCAAAAATAAGGAAAAATGAATTTAAGTAATATGGCATCCCTCACAGGAAAAATGACTCATGGGGTCCTCTAGTCCCCTGATTGGCATTCATTCCCTGAGTCCTATGGCTTCTTTGAGTTTCCTTGATGGCCACACTAGGACAGCATGAGGACTTGGAATCACTCCCTTGTCTCCATGTCTCTACTTCTCCTAGAACAGCCCGCTTAGATCTGCTCCACATGCTAAAGTTCCACAGGAAGCATGGGAAGGATTTTACCACTGGAAAAACAATGTCACCTTCTGGGTCTGGATTGGAGCTCAAATAACACTGCTGGTTTTCCTCACCATTTTCAACCAGTTATTATTTACTAAGTGCCTACCAGGTGCTAAGCAGAGAGCTGAGTGATAGGTACTTAGCAATAAATGAAGGAGACAAGATGATGGAGTCAGGCTTGCTGCTTTCTGGTAGAAATGTAACACACATCACATACAAATTACAGCTTTCTAGTCATCACTGCTTTAAAAAGTAAACAGAGGACCAGGCATGCTGGCACACACCTTTAATCCTAGCTCTTGGGAGACAGAGATAGGCAGATCTCTGTGAGTTTGATGACAGCCTGATTTACATACCAAATGCCAAGCCAGAGCTACATAGTGAGATCCTGTCTTTAAAAAAAAAAAAAAAAGGTAAAAGGGGGGCAGAAATGGAGATCAGAGAGTAGAGCGCTTGCTCAGCATGCACAAAGTCCTGGGTTCAATCCCCAGCACCACATAAAACCAGATGTGGTGGTGTACACCTATAGTCCCAGAACTTGGGAGGTGAAATCAAGACGACCAGAAATTCAAGGTTATTCTTGGCTACACAGAGAATTCAAGACCAGCCTGGGATACCTGAGACTTTGTCAAAAAAAAAAAAAAAAATGTCCAGAGCTGGAGAGATGGCTCAGTAGTTGGTTAAGAGCATGTGCTGCCCTTGCAGAGGATTGGAGTTCAGTTTCCAGTACCCGGGCCAGGCGGCTCACAATTACCTGTAACTCTACCTCTGGGGGAATGTGATGCTCTGACGGGCACCTGTACATAGCCACATACATACACACAATTAAAAATAATTTTAAAAAATTTTTATTTTGCATTTTTATATCTTTGACACTCCGCAGTTAGTTTTCATCCATGGCTGTAGATTTTTGAATGTGGTATCGGGGACATACGTTACCAAAGCATAGAGAGTGTTTGGTGAATCCTCATCCTCATTTGTTTTCTGGGGAAATGCACACGGATACGATACAGAACATTCCTTATTTCTTTGTCCCAGGTGTCTGTGATGAGCCTGGTATCAATGTGCATATGTGGTATTAAACCATCTCCTTCAGGGAAAATTTCCAGATTTCTTTGAGTGCCCACTCCATGAATGTGCTTGTGAATGTTGGTGGTGTATTCCTGAGTCACCACCCTGTTGAGGACAGGATGGCCCTTCCTCTTGACACCCTTCCTTGTGGGAGCCATTCTGCCAGGCCCAAGTTGGCATTTTTTTTTTTTAAGATAGGGTCTCATTTTGTGTACCTCTGACTGGCCTGGAAATTTCTACTAGACCAGGCTGACTTCCAACTCATGCACCTACCTCTGCCTCCTGAGTGCTGGGACTAAAGGTGTGTGCCACCACACCCAGCAAAATATATCTTTTCTTTTCTTTTCTTTTTTCCTTTTTTTGGTCTTTTTGAGACAAGGTCTCCCTGTAGCCCCAGCTATCCTGGATTTACCATGGAGACCAGGCTGGCCTCAAACTCCCAGAGATTCGCCTGCCTCTGCCTCCCCAGTGCTGGGATTAAATGCATGCGCCACCACGCCTGGCAATATATCTTTTCTTAAAAGCAAAATAAATGTATGAAATTTATTTATTTACTTATTTATTTATTTTGGTCTTTTTTTGAGATAGGGTCTCCCAAGTAGCCCCAGCTGGCCTGGAACTCACTATGTAGACCAGGCTGGCCTCGAACTCACAGAGATCTACCTGCTTCTACCTCCTGAGTGCTGGGACTAAAGGTGTGTGCCACCATACCCAGCCTTTATTTATTTATTTTATGTGTATAAATATATTGCCTGTATGCATGTAATTGTACACGCATCATGAAATACCCTTGGAGGTCAGAAGAGGGTGTTGGATTCCTTGGTACTGGAGATACAGACAGTTGTTGGCACCATGTTGGTGCTGGGAATCAAACCTGGGTCCTCTGCAAGAACAGCCAGTACTCTTAACCACTGAGCCATCTCTCCAGCCCCAAATGAAATTTATTTTAATAGCATCTTTTTTTGTTTGTTTCTTGAGACAAAGTCTCACACTGTAGCCCAGGCTGTTCTAGAACTCACTGTATTACACAGGCTGACTTCAGACTTGTAACAATCCTCCTGCTTCAGCTTCTCAACCGCTGGGATTATAAGTGAGCAAACAACATTGTATTGAGCCTAATATGTCCAAAATCTGATGGGTCAGCATGTAAGTAATATTTAAAAATTAGTAGTGATGTTTTCTCATATTAAACCCTTGAAATGCTGTGTTCATTCTGCATGAAGACTACTCAGAGGGCTAGAAAGATGGCTTAGAAGTTAAGATAGCATTAACACCCATTCTTAGCTCCAGTTAAGGGAATGTGACACCCTCCTCTGGCCTCCACAGGCACTATACACATGTGGTACACTTACATATATGTAGGCAAAACACTCATACACATAAAATAAAAATAAATTTTATTAAAAAAGACTACTCAGGCTGGGTGCACACCTTTAATCCCAGCACTCGGGAGGCAGAGGCAGGCAGATCTCTGTGAGTTCAAGGCCAACCTGGTCTAAATAGTGAGTTCCAGGCCAGCTGGGGCTACAGGTAGACCCCGTCTCAAAAAGATAAAAGCAATAATAATAAATAAGTAAATAAGACTACTTGGGGCTGGAGAGAAGGCTCAATGGTTACGAGCACTAGCTGTTCTTGCAGAGGACCTGGGTTCAGTTCCTAGCACCTACATGGTGGCTAACAACCATTCATAACTCCAGTTCCAAGGAGTCCAATGCCTTTTTCTGACCTCCACAATCATTGCATGCATTTACTGAGAGGCAGACAAAACACTCATAGAAATAAATAAATCAATAAATGAATAAATAGGTAAATAAATAAACACATTTTTAAAGACTATTGTCAGTTACTTTTCTGTTGCTGTGATAAAACACTATGACCAAGACAAGGTATAAAAGAAAGAGTTTATTTGGCTTATGGTTCCAGAGGGATGAGAGTCCATCATGGGGGGAGGCATGGCAGGAGGTGGCCAGAGCAGATAGCTGAACACTCACATCTTCAAGCAGGCATAAGAAGTAGACAGTGATGGACTAGAAGTGGGCCTGGCTGTATCTCAACACCCACCCCCAATGACATACTACCTTCAGCATGGCCACGCCTCCTAAGGTTCCATGATCCTCCCCAAACAGTGCCACCAACTGGGGATCAAATGTTCAAATACTTGGAGCCTATGGGGGAAATTCTCATTCAAACCACCACAACTACTTAAGTGTGTGTTTTGGTTTTTATTTTGAATACTTACTAGACTATGAGAAAACTATCGCATGTATTATTTGTTCCTTACCTATAAGATAATACCCACTTCAGAGTAAAAGTTCACTTGGGAGCAATTAAGTGCTTTTCTTATATACCCTCACTGTCACAGCTTTAAATTTTTTTACAGCAATGTGTAATTTATATACCATATAATGCACCCATTCATGTATTTAGTTCATTAAGTTTTGAGGAATCAATACACCATCACCCCAACCAGTGGAGTCACCTTGAGCTGTTCTCTCAGGTGGTCCCCATCCCATTACACACAAACACAGTGGGGCACCTCAAATAAACAGCTTTTCATCTGAGACTGTATCTCAGTCTGCCCAAAGGACCAGCACAGCAGCAGTAAGAGCAATAATAACAGCAGCAGCAACAATGGCACAGCGCTGATAGCAGCAACTGAACCCTACTCTCTGGGTAGATTCTTCCAATACGCCCAGTTACAGAGCCAGATGGCATGTGACTGTAATTCAGAGGTGGAGGCAGGAGGATCAGGAGGTCAAGTCTACCCTTGGCTACGTAACAAACTTCAGGCCAGCCTGGCCTATAGTATGCCCACTTACAGGTCAGGAGAGGGAAGCTTCTGAAGGCTGAATCACTTGTCCCATAGGTGCTAGCGCCATCACAGAAGAGCACATTCCCATCCATATGTGTGGCTCCTCAAAGACACTACAAGTTGTCAAGGGAAATGCCACAGACACCTTTTCAGTATGATTTCAAGGGGTTCACAATGCCCCTGGATGCCCATCTATGGGGCCCACTCAGAAGCCTCTGTGAACAAGTCTCATTCTCGTTTGGGGATCCAGGTGGAGGATCTGATCGTGAAATATCGGAAAAAGAAGAGGACGGTGGCGGGGATCATCGTGGAGCCCATCCAGTCTGAGGGTGGAGACAACCATGCATCGGATGACTTCTTTCGGAAGCTGAGAGACATCGCCAGGAAGGTTAGAGGACGTGGAGTGACAGGACCACAGGGGTTTCCGGGTTGGGTTCCCAGAGCAGATAGTTGGTTCTACTTCAGCCTTGGGCTCTAAGAAAAGTGCCACATTGGCAGAAGCCAACCAGCAGTATTACAGGCAGAGAAGTTGGGGTTTACACTGGGAGTGTGGCCCAGTGGTAGAGGCTTACCTAGTACATGGCCCTGCGTTCCATCCCCAGTACTGGAATACCAAGAGAGAGAGAGAAAGAGTTGTGGAAGCATGGACGATTCTTCTTTAAAATAATTTTGCAAAAGTCAACCTCCAAGGCTGGAGTTGTAACTCAGTGGTAAAGACATGCCTGGTGTGCACGTGGCCCTGGGTTCAATCCCCAGCACTGAAGAAAAGTAAAATTTTTATGGAATGGTGGTTGAGAGGCAAGAAGATGGCCACAAGTTCAAGACCAGCCTGGGCTAATGTAGCCCAGTGAGTTTAAGACCAGCCTGGGCTATAGAGTAGGCATGAGAGCCTATCTCAAAAGACAAAAAAACAGCCTCCAACCTGCTATTTTAATCTAGAACTTGTTCAGTTAAAAGATTCCGGAGATAGCCTCAGCCTCTTCCCTTTTCTTTCTAGAGACTTGCTTTATCTTTCAGTCCACTATTGTCTACATTCACCAAGTATAATGAACAACGTTAACATCATGTGTTTATTTACATCATCTGAACATTGTATATATTATTTGTTTATTTTATGTGTATGAGTGTTTGCCTGCATACATGTATGTACCCCCCATATACATGCCTGGTGCTCATAACTATCTATAATTCCAGTTCTAGGGATACAGTGCCTTCTTCTGGCCTCCATGGGCACTAGGCATGCATATGGGGTACATACATATACGCAGACAAACACTCATATACATAAAATAAAACTGAACCCATGTCCTCTACAAGCGCAGCAAGTGCTCTTGACTGCTGAGCCATCTCTCCAGCCCTATATATTAGCTTTTTAATCATGATAACCAAAGTTATCTAACCTAAACAACTTAAAACCTCTGGAGGAAAGATTTATTTTGCTGTTTTGGAGGGTTCAGTCCATAGTTGCTTGTCCCCTATGCATTTGGGCAGAGCTTCATGGCATCAAGAGTGTGTGGCAGAGAACTGTTAATATCATGGCTGACAGGAGGTATTGACACAGGAAGTGGCCAAGGGATACTATACCCCACCAAAGACCCACCTCCCAGTGACCTGCTTTCTCCAGCTTGGTCCTACCTCCTAAAGTTTCCACAACCTCCCAAAATAGTACCACCAGCATGTAAGCCTCTGGGGGGCATTTTATATTCATACTATAACAGGTCTGTGCATAACTAGCATGTCAAACCAGTCAGTTCACAGATAAGAGACAGAGGCAAAAGCTGATTTACATACACATATGGAATTAAAAATGGTCTGGGTGATACACAGAAAATGGCAGCTGACACTGAAGGAATGACTTCTTGACTTCACAGTTGCACACACTGCCTTCTGACTAGGTCAAGCCCCAGGACTGTAGCCACACGCAGCAGCCACATGCAGCACCGGTCTGCAATGCTATAAGGGGATTGGTGTTCTGGTTTCTTTCCAGCTGGATGGGCCTAGGGCACATTCAGATGCAGCTGTGGTTTGAATTGTTCTGTTTGGGTGCTCTGTTTTCTTCTGCATAGCTCAGGGATGGGATTTGGCTTTGCAGTTTAGAATACAAGGAAGCATACAGCTGGCTCTGGATTGGGTGGTAGATCATGGCCTCTTATAGGTATTCATTTCTCCCTCCTCTGTCCTTGGACCAGCATGGCTGTGCCTTCTTGGTGGATGAGGTCCAGACCGGTGGAGGTTGTACTGGCAAGTTCTGGGCCCATGAGCACTGGGGCTTGGATGACCCAGCAGATGTAATGTCATTCAGCAAGAAGATGATGACCGGGGGCTTCTTCCACAAAGAGGAGTTCCGGCCCAGTGCTGTGAGTGTTACCCTGCTCTGTCAGAACACACAAGGGAGGGGAACCTTCCTCGTAACTGCTCCCTTCGCACACGTGAGGGATCAGGGGCCTCTGGAGTGAGTGGCACAGAGGTTTCCTTCAGTGTCACACAGAATAATACTGCCAACAGCTACTGCTGTAGAATGGAGGCTTTGTACTATCTACTTCTAACAGTTCCTTAATCCACACAACAATCTAATCAAGGAATTATTTTTTTCCAGTTTTACTAATGGCACATCAGGTGCAGAGAAGTCAAATAAGCTGTTTGTAGTAGTTACATTTCTCATTGTTGTGACCCAATACCTGACAAGAAACAAGAGAGAAGGGTTTGGGGCTAGAGAGATGGCTCAGAGGTTAAGTGTACTGGATGCTCTTGCAGAAGATCTGGGTTTGAATCCCAGCATGGTGGCTAACAACCATCCATAACTCTAGTTCCAGAGAGGGGATCTGATGCCCTCTGGCATCCACACGTGGGCACTGCATGACATGAGTAAGCTTACATGCATGCAGGCATAAGACTCATACATAAAAAATAAAAATAAACTTCTGGCCGGGTATGGTGGTGCACGCCTTTAATCCTAGCACTCGGGAGGCAGAAGCAGGTGGATCTCTGTGAGTTCAAGGCCAGCCTGGTCTACATAGTGAGTTCCAGGACAGCTGAGGCTACAGGGAGACCC